ATCCACATGATTGAAGTAGAAGATGACTGGGATCCCGAGGGATCAATCGGCACTACAAGAAAAAGCCTTATCTGCGACCAACATTCAGGGACGAGTTAATAATCTCGTCTCTAAAAGTATATTTATTGGGACGAGATTATATTGTGGTCCTTAATTTTGTATTCTACTGCGAAGGTACTAAATCTGGTCCCAAACAAAATTAACAACTGGTCCCAAATAATAATTGAGGGGCCATGAGCGGGAGGAGTGCCGCCAAATATAATATTAAAAAATTCCAAAAATTAGAACAAGCTCTCTGTTTTCCCAAGCTCTGCCCTAGTCTCTAAACATCCACGCATAACTCACGCCTGCTAGCTCTCTATTCACTACTCAAAATCAGTGTTTTCTCAAAGCAAAGGCTGCGAATCTGTTGGTTTGTGGATCGTAGGTCTGCCAGTTTTCAACCTCGCTCGTTTGCGAATCCCTAGTTTGCCTCCTCTTCTGAGTTGTTCTTTTTCTTCTCTAAGTTGGAATTCGCTGTTTTGATTTGCTTTATTCGACTTCTTCTTCTTCTTCTCTAACATTAAATTTGTAAAAGGTTTTACAATTTCTGGTTTTTTTATTTGTATAGTCAATGAAAAGATTATGGATTGGGATTCCTGTTTCGATAATTTGATTTCTTTTAAGTGTATTAAAGTTTGTAGTGTATTGTGTGTCTGAATACTATGTTTCATGCAAAGTGAATATCAATTTTGAAAAAGCAAATTATTTCATGAATGGCAGATTTAATTTTATGTTTTAAGTGTTGGGATATAATTTTCGTGCATTGTATGAAGGAACAAGGGGCAGACCATAGGGCCATTGTTTAGTTACAGGTATAAGCAAATACCCCAAACAAAGTGATTCGAAAAGATTCAGCCAAAAAACAAGCGAAGAAATCACTAGTTAAGGCTTTTATTAAGCTCGTTAATTACAATCACATTATGCTGACTCGTTATACACTCGATGTAGATATGAAGGATGTTGCTAGTGTCGTGTCCTTGAGCTGTTGTACTTTAGTCATTTCCTGAAGAAGTCATATTTTGCTGCAATTGTATCATTGACAACATTGGTGTTAACTCGTTGTAGTTTTGGTGCATCATGGTGTTAACATCGAGGGCCTTGCGTTGACAGTTTTTTTTGTTAAATGATCTTTCTGAATATGATTTGATGAAAAAGGATGACTCAACCTCGTGATTCCTATGAGATTGTGAAAAAAATGGATAATGATATTGTAGACTTAGAAAATCCTTCACAAAAGAAACGAAAAAGAAATGATGAGGTGAAGTATCTCTTTATGAATTAGTATATTCATGGTTAAATATTCTGATGACATGATTTCTTTTAATATTATATTGTCACACATTTTCTCTTAATTATTTTTTACTTTTGTCTCTTGCAGGTTCAATATGAAACCATCAAAGATTGAAAACGAGTTGGGATCAACTATGAATATTGCAGCCAAATATTCATTCGTCAAGCCAGGTGCTATAAGAAAGGGACAAGGACGAGGACGAGGACTTAGATCTTTAGTTGAGAAAGAGAATATGCCAGCTAAGAGTTTATTTCCTCAATCTAATGATCTAGTTAAGCAATACATCCAAACAATTGAAACAAGTAAGATTTTTTAAATCAAATATTTTTAATTTGCACAAGTGAATTTAAATGCTTATATGTTAGTAATCTGATTTCTTTTTGCTAGGTTCTATAGGGAAGGGACGAGAAGAAGGGCTTAGAAACTCTACCATGTCTGCTAGTCAAGGAATGAAACATAAAAAACACATCGTTCTTGAGAAAGACTATATGCAAATTGATATTTCATTGCCTCCATCTACTGATCAAGTTAAGCAATACACTCAAAAAGTTGAAACAGGTAAGTTTTTTCAAATCTGAAATTAAAAATGAGAAAACAATTCATTTCCAACTTGTCTTTATTCAGTTGAATACTAGGCAGGGCCTAGGGCTAGTTTTTATTAATAATTAACCAAAATAAATAAAACAGTAGCGTGTTGTCTTACATAGTGTAAGACTGTAATACTTGATAAATACATTGCCCCTATTATTAACTTTGAGCATATAATGCCCAAAATTAATATTACACATTGATCAAAAATTAAACTAGACATAAAATCTAATAACTGAATAAAAACTAGCCTTTTACATTTGTAGCCCTCACATATTCGTCGTTGCTTACACTCCAGTTCCGCCTTTTACATTCTAGCACCGTCCATGTCCATAGTCATGTCCAGTACTTGTGTGTTCTCTTGAGCTCTTAACATAATTGCCATTATGTATTGTTGCTAAAGATGAGCTACTGCCCTTCCAAACCAAAAACTTACCTGTGTATGCATGCTCATAGCTTGATTTTGAGCCAATTTTGTTGTGCGGTACAGTGTACCATATCTGTCTTGTCCTGTCTCTGTTGCTATGTCTATGCTTACCCACAAATTCCCTTCACTGGATTGAGTACATTGTACTAATACCACCAGTTGAAGGCAATTCAATGTGTAAGTTATAGATACAGCAGTGCCACTTCTCCCATACTTGCTAATATGTGCAAACATCTGCATTATGTGGATCACTTCGTGTATTCTGATCCTCTCAAATGGCGATATTGTTGACCTATCTTGCTATAACACATTACTGAGTTGTGTAGGTAATTGCCCAAAGTCCCAGTAGCCTACGAATTTCAAACAGTAGCTGGCCATCAGTTGTGTGCGTATGGCTTGTTTGGTTATTTGTTCATGTAATTTCCAGAAGTCGCTTTGAATAACCTTTGCTTTGGGAAAATGTTTGGATGTGATAAAGTACGCCCACTGTCTCTTTGATTCCCAACGTCCCATGTCGAGGATTTTGGATACACCTCTCCATGCTTCCATGCTTATGCCTACTATCAATACTCCTTCAAGGGATTGAGAATAACATACTAATACCACCCTTAGAATTTGTACTAAATAATAGGACATAGATACAATAAACTTTCCTGCAAAACAAAGCACAAAGTTAGAAAAAATCTCAATCACCATATCCTCCTTCCGTAGAATTTGGATATGATGATCTGCAGCACCATTTGAACATTGAAGTTCTGCTGTCCTCATTGCCTGGCTACCTGTATGAGCTGCCCAGTTCCTTATTCCATATTTCCTGGGCATTTTTGTCTTTTCTTGTATTTGTATGTGATCCCTATTATCTATCTTGTGTTTGTCCTGCTGAAGATGGCTATCACCATGTGATTTAGGGACCAACTCATAATTGAAATTGAATGGTATGATCTGCCTCCATCCAAAACACTTTGGATCACCAGAGTTCCTAGCCTCTATACCTATGTTACTTCATTGGAATTATCACTTTAGCTTATATTGTTGCCAAGTTTTGATAATGTGCTTGTGTTATTGACAAACCACTATTATTGCTAACTTTTGCTGGAAATGTGCCCTCTGATAGTAAATGAAAGCTAGTTGCTGTATTCAAGATAGGTACTTTTTTTGATAGGTAAAGTAAGGTATTTTATTGATGGAAATCATCTATTAAGAGAATGGAGCGAATATACAAGATAAGTACGTTTATCCAAGTTTGTTATCAGTTAGAATTTATGATTATGTATAGGATTGTTGTTGGACTTCTTAGGACTAGATAGTTAGTAACGAGTTCTTGCGGTGCTTTCACGATTAGATTAGTCTCGATCTCTTAATAAATGCCCCATTTTTCATAAATAGACGTGCACATTTAGTGATATTTTCAATCATACTCTGAAGTAAATGTTAAATGTGTTAAATTTCTGATCTGCTGAAACTTCTGTGAAATGGAGAAGAACACCAGACTTTCTATGTGTTCTTATCTATTAAGTTGGACTAGTATCTCTACGGAGTACGAAGTAAAATTCTCACACTACAGAGCACCAGACTCTCTTGATCTCTTAGATATACTCCAACTTTCTCTTCTATTTAAGGCTCTTTTATTTGGCTTTTAATCTTGTTTTTAGATGATCATTTTGTTGGATGGTCCAGGTGCTATAAGGAAGGAGCGAGAGCAAGTGCCTAGATCTTTGTGGTCCTCTTTAGGGATTCTGAAAATGAGGTGGGGTCTTTCGATAAGAATGTAGTTTATGCTAATCAACGTATACAAACTCCTTCTAAAAGCACAAGATCGAATTTTACCATGTCTCCTAATCAAGAAATGCGAACAATGGATAAAAACTCCTTGGTTCTTAAGAAAGAGCATATGCAAACCAATATTTTATTGCCTCCATCTACTGATCAAGCTATGAAAAACTCCCAAACAGTTGAAACAGGTATGGCATTTCGAATCCATGTGTTATTAATTTGTAGAACTAAATTTGTTGTCTNAACAAACTGTTTTCGAGGCACTTGGGCAGAATAGTTCGTGATTGCAATATGTGTCCGCTGGGAGTATCATCGTGGATGATATTAAACAAGAAAAGTTGAATCACATGTGGGCAGCTATTGAGGTACAATTGCAACATGCTTCCATTATTGAATGTTTTTAATCAAATTATAATCAGCATTTTGAACTGTGCATAACTGAACAGTGCAATTAATTTAGTTTGAACAGTGCATTATTATAATTTAGCTTAAACAGTGACCTTTGCAAAAGGAATATGCAGCCATGGACCTTAAACAGTGACCTTTGCAAAAGGAATATGCAGCTTAAACATTGACCTTTGCTTGGTCTTTCTCTTGTTCAATGAAATACTTGTTTACCTGTTCAAAGGCACAAAAAAAAACAGAATCAATTAGTCACCCCTTCCTTTGCTTTACAGTAGCTGCAGATCTATGGTACATGTAGCTGTAGATATCTTTGCTTAGTTGGAGCAATCTGACCTCTGTAAATAACACTGATCCTTTCAATTTTTAATAATAATAAAAACTTTGGACATAAAAAAGGAATACCGATTCAATAGCTGACATCACAGAAGGAATACCGCAAAGGACCAAGAACCTCTCTAAGGACCAAGAAGCTCCATTTGTAAACACTTTGCAAATTTTGAGGTTGAGATTGCAGAAAAAGAGGTTTTAATGAATCATCGAAGAAAATGAAGAGTAAAAATATGAGATTACATGTCATTATCCCAAAAAAGAGGAGAATACATGCTTACACCTTAGAAAACATGGGCAACAAACTTTGGCTCCGAAAATATGAGGATATAATTTGGTTAAGGCGCTACAAAGCTCGCCTATTTTCTGCTTGTTTGTTGAATATATGCTGCTTGGATGTCCTTCACGTTACATTCACATCATGTCGTCTGCTGGTATACCGTAACCAGAACTACTTTCTTCAAGTAGTGCAGTAATAAGAAGAAATTTTTCTTAAAATCAGGAAAGATGATTGTTTAGTCAAGAAGACAAGCATATATCTATATTTACTCATCTCTCTTTGATATTTGTTAAGTTGAACGGTTAGAAAAACCGGACGTTTTATGCTTTAATTCCAATTTGAGTCTTGATTTATCACTTGAAACATACCAATTATGTGTATACTGATTTTCCTTTTACAGAAGATATCCTTTTATAGCTTTAGAGGACAATTGTTCTGTTTACTCTTAGTTAAAGTTCCATGTGTGACTTATGCAAAATAACAAAATAAACCTTTTCCTCTTCTTTTCTCGAACCGAAGTTTGATTTACCGTTCCAAAACTTTTCTAATTGATTTTCTTATATTCTTGTAGCCTTGTTGATGTTGCTGGATAACACCTGATGAATTTAGACTGCTTTTAGGGTAAGCAATTTAACCATAGCTAGTGTAAATTTACATATATTATTTTACCAATAGTTATTAATTATCGTCTTTTCAAAATTTTTACTTACAGGTTTTGAAGATTGAAGCTACAAGTCAAGATAAAAGTTTAGAAGAAACACAAGCTCATTATTATTTTGCTAGGGATGTTATGTAAAACACGATATCATAGTCTCGCTCAGGATGTTATCTAAGTTTTTTTGTTAAGGTGTTGAGCAAATATTGAAACTATATAACATCATGCGATGTTAACACTCTAATTAATAACTTTTTATAAATCAATTTGACATTTATTTATAAAAATAACTTTTTTCTGACATCAATCTTAAGGACTGCTTGTCGTAATAAGAGACCAGAAATACGGTCGACATTAAAGTTACTACAATTATTTAAAATAGGGACCAGTGCTGCTCGTCTCTGAAAGATAATCTACGACCAGTAAAAGGTTGGTCGCTAAAAATGGTTAACGACCGAAAAAAAATATATTTTCCATAATATAATTATTGTCTATTAGGGAGGAGAATGCTAGTCGCTAAAACTGTTTAACGACGGGCAAATATATAGTTTCCATAATATATTTATTATCTATTAGGGAGGAGAATGCTGGTCGCTAACACTTTTTAACGACGGAAAAATATATATTTTTCATAAAAAATTAATCGTCTACTGGGACGAGATTTGTAGTCTCTAAAGGATTTTAACAACCAGATGTTTTATCCGTCTCTAAAAACATTTAACGACCGGGTTTCTCGCCCCGTCGCTATTGACCTTTAGCGTCGGAAGCTGTTACGACGGGTGGCGACCGGCTTATTCCCGTCGTAATTGCTCTATTAGGACCGGATTTTGATCTTTAGGGACTAGATTTCCCTTCCTTAAAGGCCGTTTTTCTTGTAGTGCGAGTTGATCGCAGAAGGTGATGACCCAAAGAAACCGGCAATTACTCTCAAACCAATCATAGTCCAGATCCAACCGTCTGAAGACGGTGAGGTGAATATGTCTATACCTCTTGAGTTTGAAGCAGCGCCACCCGCAAAAACACCGGTACCAATTGAGGTTGAGCTCGTGTCTCCGGCAAATGCACCCGCACCATTTGAGGTTGCAGTCTTGCCACCAAAGGCGCATGTTCCATTCGAAGTGGCGTTGTCAACCGCGCCACCCTTATATACAAATGCTATACCCTAGGACTATACAGCCAAGGCGAGAAGGAAGGGCAAGGTCAGGATTGAAGAAACTATCATAGCACAGGGTATGACAAGAACTGGTAGAGTCTATACCCCTGAACATCTGGCTGAATCAAGCAAGCAGGCCTCTAAGTGGCCGCCCCTCATTGAGATAGGTCCGGACGACCTTTGGAGAGAAATACAGGCCAAGGAATATTTGATCATCGACTAGTTAAACAAGATGCCAGCACAAATATCCATTCTCTCTTTGCTGCAAAATTCTGAGACGCATAAGAATGCTCTGTTAAAGGTGTTGAATGAAGAGTATGTACCAAATAACATCACTAGCGGGGAAATGGCTAATATGGTAGGACAAGTTCTGGAAAGCCATAAGATCACCATTTATGAGGACGAGCTGCCACCTGAAGGGCTGGGGAACAACAAAGCACTGCACATCACCATGCAATGCGAAGATTATTTCATCACCAGGACCCTGGTCGATGGAGGTTCTAGTCTTAACATTTGTCCGTTGGTAACACTCAAGAAGTTGGGAAAAGGGCTGCATGAGATAAAGGATGGAGCAATCAATGTGAAAGCCTTCTATGGTCCTCAGAGATCCACCATTGGTGAGATTAGTCTATGCCTGCAGATGGGACAAACCTGGTTCGAGGTCGATTTCTAGGTAATAGATGTACCAGCGTCTTACAACTTGCTGCTGGGATGGCCATGGATCCATGCTGCTGGGGCCGTAGCGTCAACGCTGCATCAGGCAGTAAAGTTCGAATGGAATCACTAGGAAGTGATCATTCATGGCAGCGGTAGCAACCCTATATACAGTCGCCAGACTATTCCGGTAATCAAGGGAAGAAGGAAGTTGGGTGGAGAAACTTACCACCACATTGAACGGGTCAATGCTATCGACAAAGACAAATGGTGGGATAGCAAAATCGAGAGTATACAGAGTTGGAGTGGGTACGAGCCTGGCAAAGGGCTCGGCAAGAACCTCCAAGGAATCTCTAAACCCATAAAACTCAAGAAACACGGCACTACCTTCGGTTTGGGATGTGAATACACCTGGGAAGAATTCAATAGTTGGTCGCCACCATGACACAGTCCTTACTATCCACTAGAGCAGCCAATACCGCATCTGGAGCAGACCTTCCAATAGGCCGACATTATTTATGGGTCAGATGAGGAAGAAGCACTTGCAGCAGTGAAGAACTTGTTTCTAGAGGACAGTGATATGGACTGTTGCGTTATTCTCAAGGAGGAGGGGGAGGAAGGCCCTTCCATACAGGCTGTGAGCAGAGCGGCACATCTCAAGAATTGGACCATCAAGACAACCAAAGCCCAACGAGCCTCGGGGTAGCAAGGCTAAAACAAGCATTATTCATTATTTTATTTACTAAATGATTTTCTTTTCGCATTTTCAATTCCCGCAATAAGATCTTCGATGTTCAAAACAATTATTCAATTTATCAAAAGCATTTTTGATTTTTCTTATGAATTAATATTTATTGCTATAGTTTTCTCTCATTACTTTACCTATACAACATTACCGTTACTTGTCTTGATGAACTAATGACTGTGACATGTAATGAAACAACGCAACAAATGGACATGGATTTAGAGGAAGATGACATACCTGACGAGATTGTCAAAGAAGTTGAGAATTTTGAGAACAGACCTAAGTCCAACCTGGACGAGACCAAAATTGTAAACCTGGGAGATTCAGAAAACGTCAAGGAAACGCGAATCAACATTCACCTATCGCCATCAGAGAAGAGAGAATACATAGAATTTCTAAAGGAGTATGAGGACATATTCGCCTGGTCGTATGATGATATGACTGGTCTGAGTACGTCTATTGTGGCGCACAAATTGCCAACCAATCCGATGTGTCCGCCGATAAAGCAAAAGCTCAAAAAGTTCAAGCCTGATATGAGTTTGAAAATCAAGGAAGAAGTCACCAAGCAGATCAACGCTAAGGTTCTCAGGGTAGTAGAATACCCGACGTGGTTAGCCAACATTGTGCCAGTGCCAAAGAAGGATGGGAAAGTTAGAGTCTGTGTCGACTACCGGAAACTTAACCGGGCCAGTCCGAAAGACGACTTCCCTTTGCCAAATATACACATCCTGATTGACAATTGCGCCAAGCATGAGCTACAGTCATTCATAGATTGCTTCGCTGGTTATCATCAGATCTGGATGGATAAAGAAGATGCTGAGAAAACGGATTTCATTACACCGTGGGGAGTGTACTGTTACAAGATGATGCCATTCGGCCTGAAAAATGCAGGGGCTACTTGAGGGCCATGACTACCATCTTCCGTGATATGATACACAAGGAGATCGAGGTATATGTGGATGATGTTTTTATCAAGTCCAAGAAGGCCACTGACCACATAGAAGATCTGAGGAAGTTCTTCAATAGACTGCTGTGACGACCCAAAGGGTCATCACCGGATTTCTCTCTTTTTCCGTGCTTCCGAGGCCTTGAAAATCTCACCTTTAGTTGCATCGATTTACGTGCGTAGTCCGGGCGCGTAGCCGGAAAGATTATATGCTAAATTCTGTGAAAAATTTCAAAATGTGGCTTTAAAATGATTAAAGTTGACTTTGGTCAACATTTTTGGTAAACGGACCCGAACCCGAACTCGTGATTTGACTGTCCCGGAGGGTCCGTAGAAAAATATGAGACTCGGGCATATGCCCGGACTCGAATTTCGAGGTCGAGAGCCCGAGAAATGAATTTTTCTGTGAAATTATTAAGGAAAATGGAAATGAAAATTGATTAAAAGACTATGGTATCGGGCTCGTATTTTGGTTCCGACGCCCGGTACAAGTCTTAAATATGTGTTAAGCGCTTTCTGTAAAGTTTGGTCGAAATCGGATGTCATTTGACGTGTTTCGGACCTAAATATCTAAAATTTGAAGTTATGAAGTTCGAAATGAAAATGATGATCTTGAGGCTTGATTCAATGATTTTTGATGTTATTTTGGCGATTTGATCGCTCGAGTAAGTTCGTAGGATGTTATTGAGTTAGTGTGTGTGATTGGTTAGGAGCCCCGAGGGCTCGGGAGTGAATTGGAGGTGGTTCGGGGTGTTTTTACACTTAGGAAAGGATCAGATTCTGCTGCATTTTTACATAGGCATTTTGTTCTTCGCGAACGCGGCCTCAGGCTCGCGTTCGCAGTGCTTTGATCTTCCCCTCTTACGCGTTCGCGTCCTACTTCACGCGATCGCGTAGTTCTAATTCCCCCTCCTTCGCGTTCGCATCATCATTATCGCGAACGCGTAGCTTTACCAGCTTCCTCAACGCGTTCGCGTGGCCCCTCACGCGTTCGCGTATAACAGTCCCTAGACCCCCCAACATTTTCTTCTACGCGTTCGCATTCTATTTCACGCGTTCGCGATGAAGTGTCCAGTTTACCCTTCGCGAACACGGCCCCTTTCCTGCGAACGCGAAGGGCAATTTTGCCTAGCGAATTTTTTAAGTTCAAAACAGTAGCCATTGCGGGCTTATTCCCATATTTCACACGAGCTCTTCTTCCCCACACCCCATAAGCGATTTTTAGAGCTATTCTTCACCAAAGCTTCTTGGGTAAGTATCATCTAACTTGTTTTCTTCAATTTCCTCTAGTAATTACTAAATTCCTAGCCCTAAATCATGAAATCAAAGTAGAAACTAGGGGTTTTGGGTAGAGTTAGGGTTTTGAGAATTTTGGGTGATTCAACCTCAATTTGGGGTCGAATCTTAAAACAAATTATATATTTGAACTCGTGGGGTTATGGGTGATTGGGTTTGGGTCTGAGCCTCGTGTTTGGACCATGTGGGACCGGTGTCGAATTTTGCTATGTTTGGAAGAATGCTAGGGACTTCATTTCTAGGCTATGGGATTTTGTTCTAGAGTCTTTATTGATATTATTGAATTGATTATGCCTAGATATCGTTGTTTCGGAGTCGGATTGTAGAGGAAAGGCGGTACTGGAGAGTTGATTGCTATTCTTGGACCGAGGTAAGTGTTTGTTCTAACTTTGGTTAGAGGGAATAGGATTAGGATATTATTTGCTAATTGCTAAATGAAGAGTACGG